TGTATCTACGCTAAGGTTGGTTTCCTCACTAAGAGCCGAGTACCAGTTCTGAAGCGAGACTCTGAATTCCTGTACTTTCCCTCTTAGTGCTAGCTCATTGATTGGCTTCTTGCGTACCAGTTCCTGTCGTTCCTTTTTCAAGTCTAGGCGAATTCGAGACCGTACCATTCTATGGTCACTGGATCGTACCTTGCCAACCACTGCCACATCCTGTACGATGCCTGGGAGTGCACTCATTAAAAAGTCTATTTCGTTTTTATTTTCGCCATTAGGGCTCCTACATGTCCACTTGCGGTTTCCTCGTTTTCGGTAGAGGGTATTCAAAACCCGTAAGTTATTGCGTTCTGCGAATTCTACTAGTAGCTCTCCTCTGGCGTTTATAGTGCCGATGCCATAATTTCGTACTGCCTGGCCTCCAGCCTGCTTCTTCCCTACGTTTGCATTAAAGTCTCCCATCAGTACAGTATACTGTGTTTTTACCTTACTCATTGCTGGATCCCCGTCTTCATAGAAGCTTTCAACTGAAGCGTCATCATGGCTGGATGTAGGCGCGTAAGCCTGTACAACCTTCATTTGTATTTTTTATTCAGTTTATTTACGATATCTACCACCCTTTCATTAGTGCTATAGTATTCCTTTATGTTTCCAGCTATGTTTCTGTGAATTAGGAACCCCACTCCCTGTCAGCCAAGCCCCGATAGCAAAGGACGTGCCCAATCTGTAGCACCGTATAGGCATCATCTGTCCTCCTAACCTCACTAAGCCCTATTATACCCCAATTAACACCCTCTAGCTCCTCGAATAGTACAGATAGACTTCCCTCAATAGATAAAGTTTTTAGATGGGGTTTTTAAAGTGCAACCAAACTGAGCACACGGGCCTACAGGATTTTCGCCTTCATATAAAATGCAACCGCTGCAGCCGGGAATTGATTCCGCAACCTGCGAGTCAGCAGCCGAGTACCTTAGCCCTTAGACCACCGCGGCGGGGCAACAAAACATATTATGATCTCAGATAAGGCAGTATAAACAACACACAAGCATGCGCACTTGGTAATTATCAATATCAAATACAATTCACAAGTCACTTCGATACATACAAAATAACGGGCACAAACAATTCGCCCTACAATGCAATCTCATGCATCAATTACCCAAGACACTTCAGCAAACATATTCTGTCAAATGTTCTTGGAACTAATTTTGAGGGCTTTTCTTCCAGGAAATACTCACACTATATCCAGCGAAGGCGTATCTCCTTGCGCTGACCCCCCCCCCCCCCTGAGAAATGAAATGTAAGGTGGGCTGAGCCCTCCTAATAACCATCACACAGTGGTAATTGTCGGTGGTTTACTGAGGAATGCACCGAGTTCAAATTTTCAATCAGCACAGCAGTCACGCAATTATGTTTAATGTGAATCTGTAACATATTTTTTCTGCATTTCTGCTAAGCAAGTTTTTTTTCCGTGTGTCGAGACCATGCACTCTATAGTCTTTCTGCGTTGCTGACCGCTTATGCAACGCTTTCGCGCTTTGTGCTCGGCAGGGGCTGTAGAACGTTAGACCACTCTGTCATGCCTTTAGTATTGTTGGCCTGGCCTGAAGCACAGGTGACAGAGGTGCAGGCGGTAGCCAAAACAAAAATGCGTTATAGATCTATAGCGCACTCTTCGCGCCTGAAAAAAATCATTATCTCTCCTTTGAAAACCAATTGGATCGGGGCTGCTCTATATCCCAGCTGCCGTTAGTCGAGGAGAACGTAGAAGTGTGTTCGAAGGGGCCCGAGGCGGGAGATCTAAAAGGTTTCGCAGTGCAGCCTCCAGTTTACAGCCTCGTCTAGCTTGTATTATTATAGCTTGAAATTATCGTGGAGGCTTGCAACAACGTGATAGGTAAGGGAGTTGACTCGAGAACAGAGGGAAGCCCATTTGTGAAGCCTGTGCCGCACCTTGATTGACCTGAGCAGGATTATGGTAAGAGATTACAGTTTTCTGGACTGCCTATTTGCGAAGTCTTTTATCTCTTTTTAATTTTGTTTATTTCTTCCTATCCGCAAACAGTTAACAGAGAGCGGTATATGCGCATAAATGGTTCACCATCGTTATACTGAAACAAAAAAAATATTTATTAAAGGTACATGACTGCGTATCACCAACTTCTATGAAAGCCGCCAAACTGATTCACGATAATTCTTCTTGAACTAAGCTTCGAAGGAGACATGGTACGGCAATGCCGTAAAATCTTTAGTACAATAATTTACTTTTTATTGTGCGCACCTAATTTTAACGCGACGAGATTTCCCAGATTTGTGAGGTCATGTATCAAGCAGGCCGTTTTACGCACCACACACGCTCCTAATTTGAATGGCTTTCATCCGTTTCTAATGATGTTTATTTCTCCCTTTCCGCAAGCCTTTCACAGAGAGCTGTATATGCGCATAAACGACTTAGCCTCAGCCACTAGACCACTGCGGCGGGGCAATAACACAGGAGTAAATTACGTGAACACGGCGCAAACTGTCAACTCAAAATATGGGAAAACATAAAGCTAAATGCATATGCTTTAAAAAAAAGCACCAGGGTTGTGCGGAAGAAAAGCAGAATCACAGCAAAAACTAGAAGAGCAACCTCTCGGAGCCTTTTCTGAACAGTCATAGGGTAACTGCTGCAAGCGCACTTGCTTGATGCCCACTACGGCAATAATAATCAAACTTTTTGGGGTAGTAGGCCGACATTCGCTGTGCTATTTTTTGTCATTCTTTTTGAGAAACGTGGTATCAATTACTAAAATAATTGCGAGGAATATTGTGCAAATTGATCATGCAGTGGCTGAAGACGTCGAGAAATTATGCCTGAGGTGGGGCAAGCGCCCCACTTAATAGCTGAAAAAATAAACAAGATTTAATAATGGGTTGTACCTTTGGATGACACACTTGTTACGCTATTCGCATTGTGCGATGACTGCTTGTTCTTTCGCTCTTTTAAAACGGTTTATAAATCATAGTAACGTGATTGCTTTCCCGACATCAATCCTGCATAAGTCAAGTTTTCCAACCAGTCGGAAGCACCGGCGTGGCTCAGCGGTAGCATACAGAACTGGCACCGAGTGGACTTGGATTCGAGCCCCACTGTGTCATTGGTACTAGGTTTTTTTGTGGGTGTAATTTTGCGCCGTGTGGTTGCGGACACCGGCGGCGGCGGCCAATTACGGCGCTGCACGAGACCCCAGTTGTGATCTCATAATAGTTTTTGCTGTAAAAACTACGATAAAAAAGATGACTTCAACGACGGGCTTCCGAGCAGTCTAAATTTATGACAAGTAACGTGCCAAGGGTTTCATGACGCAAGAATCATCAGCTTTGCGAATGCGATCCTTTTCAATTTCACGCGCTACTATATCCTTCAACCTAGATTGGAATGCCGTGTTAGCGGACAAGGCTGCGCAGCAAAGATAGCTTACAACATGCTTGTCCGATTAGCGAAACTAGAGCGTAGTTGAACAGAGGAGTGGTCGCAAGGGCTACCACACCAATGTACAGAACGTGAAGCCCAGACAGGGTCAAGCCACTCGGGGCACTGCGATTGGTAGGCTGTAATGCGTATCCGTTCTAATAGTTGCCCGTGACTCTGTAAATAAATAAATATATATATATATATATATATATATATATATATATATATATATATATATATATATATTCATATATATATAAATATATATATATATATATATATATATATATATATATATATTCAAGTACATCTTCCGTGAGCGGTCACAACGTTGTTTATTCGACGTGTCGGCCTACAGTCTGGCCTTCATATATAAACCAAGAAGTAGAGGACGGGCAAAACACAAACTTTTTGTTTTGCCTACGTTTCAGCTGGGGACCGGATGAAGGCCGGTTCCCGGCTGAAACGTAGGAAAAATAAAAAGTTTTAGTTTTCCCGCCCTCTACTTCTTGGTATTTTTACACTGGATCCAAGGACACCTTCTTTTTCATATATATATATATATATATATATATATATATATATATATATATATTTATTTATTTATTTATTTATTACAAACTTATTGATAAGCCGAATTTCCTCAAGGACTCACTGTTTTCGAGCTGTTGTGCATGAAAACTCAAAACGTGGTAGTGGCCCCAACATGCTACTAATCTGTCTGTTCAAAAGCGTGTCGCATGAAAACGCACCTGCATGAATTTTCGTATGATTTACTAGCTTAATTTCGGCAGTTCCTTATGTAAAATTAGTGCACCAGTTTGTTTGCACGTACATTTTTGTTAGAAATAATAGCACAATTGTTTTGTATGTCTTGATGTATAAATTGTGAATACACAGTCAAGGCTCGTTTCGAAAGAATTTCTTTGCTTTGTTTTTCCTTTGAAATGTTATACCATCTTCAGCCAATCAAATATGTGACATTATCGGCATGACTGACGGTTGACTCATTTTTTTTCTTTAGAAACAGATATTTTGAAGTAACCTTATTGATGACATTTAATGATATATAGAAGCAATAAGCAATAAAATTTAGTCTTTGGTGAAAAAATTACATCATTGTTTATTACTTGCACCTTAAAAGGCAAGAGTTAATAGGTCACCAGGATAGCGTGATGGGGAAAAGTCATATGCCTTTCGTAAAACTACAGCACGTTCGTTGTTTACACAGCACCTAACCACTATTCCAATGCCACGCATACTGAATCGCACCTTGGGTAACTCATCGTCACTGCAGTCCCGATCCTGAACGAGGAGAGACGGGGAAGGAACGTATGAAAGGAATAAAGAAAATGTAGGCCTTTGCAGCTTATTTATCATTAACTCTAGGCAGCTTGCTGGGAAAAAAAGAGTTATAATCATGTTACAACAGCGCAGCCTGAAATTTTTTGTTTCATTTCTGTTGCATTTTCATTGTTATCACAACATGAGCGAAAATGTTGCTGACTTTTAAATAGAGTCCAATTACGATGTCTTGCTATGCACGCAGGTGGTCGTCACCAGGCAACACAACGTGTGTCACCAGAAGATGCCCTGCTACAACCACTATCGCATCTGTGAGTTCGGAGGCTTCGACTGTATCAAGCAACCTTCGATAGTGGATCGCTCGGCCCTGCGCTTCAACACCTCACTGCTCGAGCGTGTGAACAGCGTCTGCGCACAGGCTTTCCCGGATGTTGGACGCTGTCCTAAAGCTCCAGGCCTAGGAAGCCCTTGGTGACCGTTGCCGAAGTGGAGAGATCTCTATGGTCGAGAACGTGTTCGAGAACCAATAGCGTTTTCTGTATACCGAGAGTTGCAGCGTATAGAAAAAGAAGGTGGTTGTGAAGCGCAGAGTTACTAATTATAAAGATGTAGATTGGTGGTGCAGTAATTTGTTTTTGCCATTGGGGCCCACATTTGCCTCCTCAGAAGTGACCACATTGAAAAAAAAATGTTCGAGCGAATCTAACGCACAGGATTTGCAATTGTCCATAGGTGATTGTTGATCTAATGTGACGAAATTGCAGTCAGGCTGACACTACTGCTTGGCTCACAACTTCAGAAATTAGAAGCGCCTCACTTTTGCAACCTGCCCGTATATAAGAGCGGTTGGAAGAATCCTTTATCTTACTATGCCCACTTTCTTGCTGCTGTCCTACGATGATTTTCTGTGCAAAATAACGAAGGAACAGCTGCATAAGAAATTCACACCCTTTTTTGGTCCTGAGAGCTGCACATAATAATTGCACTACCTGTTGCACGGGAAGGTGACATTGCAAAAAAAACGTTGAAATGTTAGTTAGGTCACATAAGTTATTTACTTTTGTCAGTATTAGTATGAGGAGAAAAAGGTTTAAAGATAAAGGCGATCGCTGGCGATCTTTGTGTCCTTATTCAAGATAATGGCACGGAAAATTTTCTTCTTTGATTCCGGTTAAACCATTTTACGTATGCCTGTGTACCACACGTGCCCAGAAGCATGCATTAGCGACTGAATTGATTTAGTGAAATTACCTGAAATATTGGGATAACCTTAAAGGTACCCCCCAGCACCTTCTTTAGCAAGCATATAGAAGATTCACTAAAGGCATTATTGCTTCACCAATTCACTGCCGCAAAACGTTTTGAATTCATCTAGAACGAGCAAAATGACAAGATTTGTATCGCCCTTCAATTGCATTCTCACTTCTCTTTGCTATGATATTGCTGGTAACTAAGCAGGAAGAGATGTCATGGGGAAAGACAAACGTCACGCGCAGCTCGTGTCATATTTTCAGTCAGTAGGTATGCCCCGTCATTGTTCGAAATGCTATGATTTTGCTGGGTTTTGCCGATAATGCTTGTCATGACGCATTTTTGTGAAATCTGCTATCAAGAGGCGTTTCCCAAATTGTTCATCTTCTGTCGTAATAAAGGTAGATTTTTATGACATGAATAATTTCTGCGCAATTCTGCCATCATGGTGACTTTTCTTGCTCTTCCGGAACAGCCTCGCAGCTCATCGAACCTATTTATTTAATATCAGCCAAAAAGGATGATCTGAAAAGAGAGGTAGCTTTACAGACCGGCCACGTACCCGTATGTAAATCCACTCTCGTTCTCTGTCTGCCGGTGCATACCGCATGCCTCTTCGTCGAAGATTACATCGATGCGTGTGGACTTTTTGTTGCTGATGAATACGATGTCACGCAAGCTGTTTCGCATGGAAGAAAGCTTGTGCTCTTTGTGCTTGGGTAAGTGGCAAGCAGCGCCCGTCGTAACTCAACGCGTGAAATTGTGGCACAGTCATGGTTCTCGAAGCACGTTCGTGCGCTATTCCGTGTACGCGAAGTAAACACGCCTGATTTTTCAATTTGCTTCCCATTCGTTAGCCCAAGCGATGCGCTGGAACGGTTCTTGCCAATCCTCCGTGTCTTCGTACACGTTGCCGTGAAAATGCTGCGGCATCAATTCACTACAATGTTAGCTGGCATAAAAACAGCTGTCACGTCCCAGGCATTCCCGTTCACAACAATTGATTTACAGAGAGAATCCGTTGAACGCGCGTGTTCGGCGGCCTCACCGCGCTATTGACGGAGAGAGCGCTCATGTTGCATTCGAAGAGATTTTATGTTTCGAGTTTCGCATCCGAAAAAGTAAGCACTAAAGGCAGGTCACTGCGGGAAACACGTCATCGCTTCACTTTCATTATTGTAACCACTGCTAAGCCTGACTTTTCTTCAACGCGACCAATTGAACTGTAGCCGAGTGGTACTGCAGTAGTGCTTTACCCCCCGCCCCCCTTCCCGCTATCCTTTCTTTCACCTTGCTTATGTCCGAGGCTGCACAAGCAAAGTGTGAGTACGTACTAGTCGGTATTTCGTTTCCTTGAGCCATTCGGGTGCATTTGAGGACACGGGAGAACGAGGTGAATGAAGACGAGTGCTGACTTCCAACTGACACTAATATTGCTCTCAACTGAGCCCATTAATTGCTTGTCCTTCACAGAAAGTTCCGGTGGCAGTCAGCGCTCGTATTCGTTGATCTCCTAGTCTCGCGTGCTCTCTTGCGCTGTATTTACTCTATAATATGCAGCTACAGGACTCTACTCAAACAGCGCATCTGCGAGGAATACTTCTGCGTCAACTTGGGGCTTGAAGTGTCGGTGAGTTGCAGAAATTGGTCGCTAAGACGTTCACACGCGTGAACGCTGGCTGATGTCACCTTTAGTCTGCAAGTTGTCCCAGATGTTGTCGGCCTTCACGCGGAGACCGCAATTAGGTTTGCTTTCAAACTCGAGGGGACCTATCACTGGTGTATTTGTTTTCTATCGAGCTTGATCAATGATTGTCTTAAGGTTACAACTCCTCTTGAATGCGTCATAGACATGATTTCGCCTTTGAGGTTACTGAAGAACATACCAAAACAAGTTCCGCTTGAACTAGTTATATGGCGACCTTGGCTCGTTCCTTTTACCCCGCTCTGCAACATCTTGTCGCAAAAACTTGTTTCCCATACTGCGGTTCCCACTTCATATGGGTTCTTGTGTACCGCCATTGTTAGGAGTACAGGTCCAGCAAATGTTGCTAAGGGGCGTTTTTAGATCCAAAGCATGCTCGACCTCAATCCAGTGTGAGGCGTTGCCACCCTTACAGTGAATGCGTGCCCTTTACTCTCCTCTCGTACGTGCCTACCGCTCTCGCTTCGCAACGCTGACGCAGCCAGCGTCGCTAACCTGTGCTCGCTTCCTCCTCTCTCTACCCCTTTTTCTCCTCTCCTGCGTTCCTCCCTCTCTCCTCTCGCAATGGCGACGCAAGCAGCACCTAGCTGCTAGTGAGTTTTTTGATAGAAAATAATTTGGCAGCTCCCACGTACCCGGGAATCGACATATTGTCGAAATATTTTTAAAGTTGCGTAGGCAGCGGCGGCGGTAGCATACACAAGGGGCAGACGAATGTGACGATTTCCCACACGAGAAGTCGTGGTTTTCCGGCTGCTCTGGCGTTTCTTTTTTGGTTTCGCTTTTCGCGTGTGAATATGGCCTTAGAAAGTCGGGCAAACTGATGGGCGGTACGTCGACTTCAACAGGCCGGAAACCCAGATCACGGCATCTACTGTTCCGGTCCCTGCAGATTCTGAAACGTACTCAGCTTTTCATGGACACAGACTGATCAGTGCTCCTGGCGACCACGGCTCGAAGCTCTCACGTTTTCAATTGGCACGGCGTCATTTTTCGACAAATAAAATCGTAGAAGCGGAAAATTTCAAACTTCCTAAAGGCATATGTTCTAGGAGCTGTACTGCACATCACAAATGCAGCATCGTTAACGTCGACGCGTCCGTTATTGCTCCCATGGCGAATAAAGTTTACGCAATAGAACCCCGTAAAAGCTGCCGAAACCATACCAAAAAGAAGACGCGATACGCAACAAAAAAGATCGTACAAAGAAAGACCGATAGAAACTTGCAAATTTACCGAAGATTTGAGTAGTTAGAAGACTAGCCTTTGATTGGAGCCCCACAATCATGTTTCTGCGTGATGCAAAATACGTTCTAAATTGCAGTTTTTTAGCAACGCAGCCGCAGCTTCAACTCGCGCGTTTTGAACCACAGGACCTCGATAACACGAATCATATTGTCACGGGGTCGTGACGTGGCCGAAGACAGGAGATTTTGTGTTGGGATTCATCTGTTTATTTGGGGCTGTGCCGGTAAACGGAAAGTCCTATTACAGTAGCAGTCTTGCACAGATAGCAGTGAACGAAGAGTTGGCTGTCGATCAACCACTTACAAGCGGCGAAGTGCGTCGGCATTTATACTCTTGCCATCGAACCTTCAAGCGTTATCGCTTGCGGTAACGTAGTTTCCAGAATAATCTGTACAGTTCGCAGAGTGGTCGTGATCTTATCGAAAGGATCTACTACGGTCCTGAAGATTCTCGGAAACTGCAGGCGTGGTTCGCGCTGAGAATTGTGTAATGTATTAGGGCGATAACAAAATTTGAGAAATGAAACGTGCCGTTGCCCCCCTCTGAAAAAGGCATCATCCCGATGTTTTAACTAAAGATGAAGGTACAACATTAATGCAAGAAATTACAATAAGTACTTTACGATACAGCAATAATACAAAAACACTGTTTTGGTTTGTTAACGCGCATGAAACTCCTTGAGGCGCATGACATGAACAACTTCCGGTCACGTTCGGCGTCGTTTAGAGTTCGAGATGCCGTCGGGGACAACATCGTAATCAAGTGGGCCGAGACTTCGAATCACCCTGTACGGTCCGAAATACCACCGCAGAAGCTTTTCACTTAGTCCACGTCGACTTATCGGCGTCCACACCCAAACTCATTCACCGGGCTGGTATTCCACGAAACGTCATCGAAGATTGGAACGGCGGCTTTTGGTCGTCTGTTGATTTTTCGTACGGAGACGCGCGAGTTGTCAGACTTCTTGTCGGGCGTTGAAGGTACTCAATCTCATCGAGGTTTTCTTCGTCTTTGACGTTGTGTAACATGGCATCGAACGTCGTTGCCGAGCTCTTTCCGTAGACCGATTTGTATGGAGATATCTGGGTCGTCTCCTACACCACCGTGTTATATGCGAAGGTCACGTACGAAAGAATGGCGTCCCACGTCTTGTGTTCGACATCGACGTACATTGCCAGCATGTCGGCGATTATCTTGCTTAGCCGCTCGGTGAGGCCGTTGGTCTGTGGGTGGTATGCTGCCGTCCAGCGGTGGTTTGTCTGGCTGTATGCCAAGATCGCGTGGGTTAGGTCAGTAGTAAAGGCCGTTCCTCTGTCGGTGAGGAGGACCTCCGGGGCACCGTGATGTAGGACGGTATTTTCGACAAAGAACCTAGCTACCTCGGATGCAGTGCCTTTGGGCAGGGCATTTGTCTCGGCGTAGCAGGTGAGGTGGTCGGTAGCTACCACGATCCACTTGTTTCGGAAAGCCGACGTCGGGAACGGCCCCAATAGGTGTATACCAATCTGCTGGAATAGTCGGCGAGGTGGTTCAATTGGCTGCAGAAGTCTCGCTGGCCTTTTCGGCGGTGTCTTGCGTCACTGACAGTCCCGACATGTCCTCACATAACGAGTGACGTCGGTGGCAAGACGTGGCCAGTAGTACCTTTCTTGTATCCTCGCGAGCGTGCGAGCAACACCGAGGTGCCCTGCCGTCGGATCGTCGTGCAGGGCCTGCAGGAGTTTTGGTCGCAGAGCTGGAGGCACCACAAAGAGGTACTTGGCTCGAAGCGGTGAAAAGTTGAATACCTTCGGGACTTCGGTGGTTCTGCCTTCGAGGTATTTAATTAGGGCATTAAGTTCCGGGTCGGCCCACTGTCGTTCAGCGAAGCCAGCATAGGTTATCGTTGCCAAGAAGTAGTCGTCATCCGGGTCGTCGGGCGGTGGTTTTTCGACAGACGCACGAGAGAGACAGTCGGCGTCGGAGTGTTTCTTGCCGAACTTGTAAATGATGGCAACGTCATATTTTTGAAGTCTCGGGCTCCACCGTGCGAGGTGACCTGAAAGGTCCTTCAAGGTGGCTAGCCATCACAAGGCGTGGTGGTCGCTCACAACTTTGAAGGGCCTACCGTAGAGGTACGGTCAAA